AACAATAATAACAACAATAACAACAACAACAATATCAACAATAATAACAACAACAATAATAACAACAATAACAACAACAATAATAACAACAACAACAATAATAACAACAATATCAACAATAATAACAACAACAATAATAACAACAACAATAATAACAACAATAATAATAATAACAACAATATCAACAATAATAACAATAACAACAATAACAACAATAACAACAACAATAATAACAACAATAATAACAACAACAACAATAATAACAACAATATCAACAATAACAAGAATAACAACAATAACAACAATAACAACAACAATAATAATAACACTAACATCATTAACAACAATAATAACAACTCACCCTTATACCTACCACACCTTAACTACCACCTTACCTAATTTACCCGAGAGAGAGAGAGAGAGAGAGAGAGAGAGAGAGAGAGAGAGAGTAAACACTATTTAATGCTGGGAATTATGTGGTTAAGCGATTTTCGGGGGAGACGCAGGTGGAGGGTGGAGAGGGGGGTGGGAGAGGCAGGTGAGGGAGGGGGGGAGGGAAGGGGGGGAGGCAGGTGAGGTGAGGGGGTGGGAGAGGCAGGTGAGGGAGGGGAGAGGAGGGGGAGGCGCAGGAGGTGAGGGGTGGGAGAGGCAGGTGAGGGAGGGAGGGAGGAGGGGGTTCCTCAATTTCACTTTCGTTCTGGGGAGATGTTTCTTGTCGGTCCTCCCCCACTCCCCCTACCCACCCGTTGTCTACACACACGCAGAGACACACAGACAGACACACACACACACGCACAGACACACAGACAGACACACACACACAATACTAATACAAGTCAAGACAATCACACACGCACAGACAATCAGCACACACGCACACACACACACACACACACACACACAGACACACACATGTTGGGCCAGCTACAATCGACAGTTCCAGACCCCAAAGTTAAGGAACCTGTTCTCTAACCCTGAGGAAGAGAGAGAGAGAGAGAGAGAGAGAGAGAGAGAGAGAGAGAGAGCAGCAGTTCCGTCAGCTTATAGTTGAAGACTTTTCTCTGTCGCCTCAGATGTTGATAACGTGTTCTGAGAGAGAGAGAGAGAGAGAGAGAGAGAGAGAGAGAGAGAGAGAGAGAGAGAAACAATGAAGTATTTGACCTTTCCCATAGTGACCTCACCTCTCCCCCCTCAGAACCTTCACCTATTACTACACCTTCCTCCCTTCGTCCTTCCCTCCCTCTCCCTTTCTCCCTTCTCCCCCAACTCCCTCCCTTTGTCCTTCCCTACCTCCTACTCTCCTACCCCCCCGTTAGTCCTTCACCTTTACTGCTAGACACACCCCCCCCCGTGTAGTAAGGAATGGGTCAGATAAATACACACTTCCGCCTCCTCTAATCTAGGTTAAGTCTTTAAGTGACTGACCAATCATTGCAGAGCATAGCCAATCATTGCAGAGCATAGCCAAATTATGACATTACATAGCCTGTCATTACAGTGCATAGCCAATCATTGTAGGATGTAGCTAATAAAACCGAATAGCCAATCGAGCCAGTGAACAACCAATCAGAGGAGTAACTACCCCCCTGATTAGTTAACTGGAACACTAACAAGCCAATCATAGCAGTATGTAGGTAGTCACCGTAACCAGCCAATCAGCGGCGAGGAAGGAGACAATTGGTGTGAACTATGAACATGACATAACAAACTAGCGTGTGAAAGAGGCCACTGTGTTGTGTCTTAACCTCACAACACTGTATGACTGATTACTGATAACATTAATATTGGTAATGACAGAAAATTATTACATTATTGTTATCGCCAGCAGTAAAAAAAGTGGCAATAGCGCAGGAGGTGGGCGCCTCGAACTGGTTAACAACGTTACCGATAAGGCAAAAGGCTTCATCCTTAACAAACAAGACTTCACAGATGCCACTGCTCTAAGGTACAGTAGGCCAGTAGAAGGTTTGCCCTCCCAATGCGTGTGTGGCTCATCCTACGACATCGACCACGCCGTGTTGTGCAAGGAAGGGGGCTTCATATGCATACGGCACGACGAAGTAAGGGATCTCACAGCAAATGTGTTTAAGGAAATCTGCCACGACGTCATGGTAGAACCGACCCTCCTTCCATTGGATGGTGATAACCTCCATCACAGGACTTCAAACACATCCAACGAAGCCCGTGTGGACGTCAGTGGTCGAGGATTCTGGACGCGGGGACAGCGAGCCTTTTTTGACATAAGGATTTTTGACCCCATGGCCACATGTCACCGTAACCTAGCTCTCGATGTTGCACACAGGAAGAACGACAATGACAAGAACAGGGCATATGGGCAGAGAATTCATAGTGCTGATCAAGGCAGCTTCACTCCTTTGGTGTTGACAACCTCTGGTGGCATGGGACCAGATGCAAGATGTTTGTACGCCTGACTCACGGAGGTGTTATCTGAACGGAAGCAGCAGCCTGGTTGAGATGTCGACTGTCCTCTCTGCTACGCTCTGCCTCAGGGGAACGAGAGCATCGGCCCCAAAGCCGACAACAGTTGCAGATATTGACTGAGGCAACAGTCACTGAATGCTGCTTAGATCTGAGGCTCAGCTAACTCAACACAGCTAGGATAGCTACTTATGTATTAGGATATTTAATATTAAGGTAATAAAATGGTGGTGAAGGTGTGGCTATTGGGGGAAGCTGGAGGCTACGTTTAAAAAATATAGTAGCAGCAGTAGTAGTAATAGTAGTAGTAGTAGTAGTAATAGTAGTAGTAGTAGTAGTAATAGTAGCAGTAGTAGTAATAGTAACAGCAAGAGAGTATTACCTGAGCTTAAACTCAACATCTTAACTCTTCTCTCAGACAAATACAGAAACAAGAACTCTGTAACCACCACTACATCACGTCTGTAACCTCAACTATTCACAGACACATTAATGTAGTGATTTTGTAAGATACTTTATGTCGTAATACAAAACTGAGAACTGTATTCCAACACTTTCCACTGAGAGTAAAATACAGTACAGGTACATTACATAACTTATCATAATTATTCACTGTAACAAAACGCGTTCTGTAATTTGTTTAATGTACAAGCTGTATTGGGCATTGGTTACATAATTACTGTATTATCATGTATCTGTACTCAACTTTCTTCCCAGATAAATACATTAATATTTTGCTGTATTTTACGTAATTTACTGTACCAAACACGTTAAGTTACCCAGTAATTCACATTTTCTCATCTAACGAAAACAAACGTGAAATTGTTAAAAACACAGGATTTTAAACACTAATTAAATTCCAAACACTTTCCGAACATTAAAACATTGTGGTGGTTTATGAGACAACGGTGTGTGTGTGTGCGTGTGTGCGTGTGTGTGCGTGCGTGCGTGTGAGTGTGTGTGTGTGTGTGGGGGGGGCACTTGACCTGGATCCCGCTTGACCGACCTCCGGCACACCACTTCTCTCAACACACACAAAGTCGTGCACACACACACAGTCGTACACACACACAGTCGTACACACAAAATAACAGTCACAGCTTAACATTCTTACAGACAATTCAATCCAGTTAGGTCCAGTTACTTCCATGAGATGTTGAGAGCGTAGTGACCCGACCTGACCTTTGGGGGGTCATTTATTTATACACCCAGGTCACACAGGGAAATATCAGGTCCCAGAAGGTGTGTTGAGACGCCCGGCAGCGGTGTGTGTGTGGGGAGGTGAAGCGACTACACAAAGATGGATATTTCTATAAGACGGTCGAATCTTTTTCATATAGTCCGTTAAATGAAGGCTTTACGTACACTGGACCTCGATATAACGTACTACCCTCCTCACTGTAGCACATAAAAATTATATACTAACAACCGATAATTCGATATATGAAGCACAATTGGTACATTAAAACAGTCCGTTTGTCTGTTACTCGGCCGCTGTTACCAACCCGTTTTTATACGGACATTAACAGAAGACGCTTTATACGGAGTCAATTTTCGTTTTTTATTAAGGCTTCAGGATTAATTGGTCAAGGCTACTTATACTTTACACTTAAACCGCTACTTATACTTTACACTTAGCCTGTTCTACTTTAGTTACACATGTACCATTACATGTACTTATACTTAAACCAATACTCACTTATATTACTTAACACACTTCATGACAGTAACAGACGGGGTTAGTGACTCTTTAACCTACATGGCAATACTACTTTAACCTTTAACATCTGGCAACACTGCTGTTTCCCAGAAGTGTCCTGAAGGGAGATATTCGAGGAGGAGGGTTGAGATCAAGAAGGTGTAGCTTGAAGGTAGAGTTAGCAAGTGAGAAAAAAGGTGAGATTTGATAGCAGGTGAGTCATCCCAGGTTAAGAGCAGTACGACAACATTTCCATCACCGGCAACACCCCCTACTGACCTGCCAGATGTAGAAAAACGTCAACTTAGTGACTTACAATCATATTATAACCCAAATACTATTAAGAAACTGATGAATAATATTAAAAACGATGAAAGATTAAGAAGTTATCGGAGAGGAAGCTCAACATAGATGCCGGTCAGCAAGTTGTGACCATCTTCACTTACCAGCAACAGTATAAACCTTTCACTACAGAAAGTGTTAACAAGGTCGAACTTGGGGAGATTAGTCCCTGGAGGTCGGCACACACCCCCCCAGGGTGAAACCTCTTCATTAAAAACACATTTATTGTTTCTTTGTTATATTACGTGGTCATGCTGTAGTACAGTATGGAAGACAGCGGAAATTTGGTTATGAGAACATACCTCCTTGTGCACCTGAAGGTTGGTATAAATTACTACATCATGTGTAATAAATCTTGGCCCAAGACAGAAGAGGACCGGGTACCCTACCTATAAACATTACAACATAAAACTTCATAATAATGTTGTCTTTATGTTGATGTTTATAGAAAACATTAACATAGTATGTGAGTAATGAATGATAACCTAATAAATGAGGTCAACAGTACAGCAATACTCACTAGAAGTGTGTACAGGTTCAGACAGAATATAGATGAACCAGAGGGAGAGGAACTTGTCTGCCTGAGCTGTCTTCAGTAAGGTGTTGTCTACCCTGGCTGTGTCTGGCACCACCAGCCTCCCGTCTACTTGGTCTGGGGTGAACACAACACTCCCGCTTCTTGCACTCGTCGTTAACACAAACAACAAGACGCTCACGACACGAGTAACCGACAACATTTTTACCGACACCATAATTGTTCACGCGGCGGTGGACCACGGCTGACTGAAGCTCCCGCACAGCTGCCCTGCGCTTATATATCGCGATGGTGACCAATTGGCGTCAAGGACACTGTGCTGCCGACACCGTTACTACCCCATCCTACCATATTATACCCCATCCTACCATATTATACCCCATCCTACCATATTATACCCCATCCTACCATATTATACCCCATCCTACCATATTATACCCCATCCTACCATATTATACCCCATCCTACCATATTATACCCCATCCTACCATATTATACCCCATCCTACCATATTATACCCCATCCTACCATATTATACCCCATCCTACCATATTATACCCCATCCTACCATATTATACCCCATCCTACCATATTATACCCCATCCTACCATATTATAATTCATCCCACTATATTATACCCATCCTACCATAATACATACACGCATCCTACCATATTATAAAATAACGACACTGTCACACACCATCATACACCGTCATACACCATCACAACCGTCATACACCGTCACACACCATCATACAACCATCATACACCATCACACACCATCATACACCATCACACACCATCATACCGTCATACACCGTCACACACCGTCATGCCCATCACACACCGTCGCTACACCGTCATACACCATCACACAATCGTCATACACCATCACACACCATCATACACCACTGCCACCACCGTCACACACCATCATACACCATCAACACACCGTCATACAATCATACACCGTCATACACCATCATACACCAACATACACCATCACACACCGTCACACACCATCATAATACAACATACACCATCACACACCATCATACACCATCACACACCATCATACACCATCATACACCGTCATACACCATCATACACCATCATACACCGTCATACACCGTCATACACCATCATACACCATCATACACCATCATACACCATCACACACCGTCATACACCATCATACACCACATCACACACCATCATGCACACCATCATACACATCACACACCATCATACACCATCATACACCATCATACACCATCACACACCATCAAGTACACCATCATACACCATCACACACCGTCATACACCATCATACACCATCACACACCGTCATACACCGTCATACACCGTCATCATACACCGTCATACACCATCATACACCATCACACACCATCATACACCATCACACACCGTCATACACCGTCATACACCGTCATACACCGTCATACACCATCATACACCATCATACACCATCATACACCATCACACACCGTCATACACCGTCATACATAAAGCTTCATTACCTACATCCAAGAACGAGTGAGTCACATCCTTTTCTGATTACTTGTTAGTAACTGATGTGACGCCCATCCTACACCCAGTGTTGCTACACCCTCTGACCTACACCTCCTAGGCTCTTACACTCATGTGATGTATACCATGTTACCTACACCTTCCTACACCCACGACCTACACCTCCTAGGCTCTTACACTCATGTGATGTATACCATGTTACCTACACCTTCCTACACCCTCTGACCTACACCTCCTAGGCTCTTACACTCATGTGATGTATACCATGTTACCTACACCTTCCTACACCCACGACCTACACCTTCGTTATCTACACCTCCGTCTGCTGCTAGTTATGATATTCAGCGTAGTGTCTGCGTTCTTGTACCTTAATGAGTCAGGCCAGTTGATACCCCTCATCTCTTCTCTCAATCCATTGTAATTTCCCTTGTAATATTCGCACCTTGGTCTGGCCTTATCCTGAGCCAGGTAACAGTTAAATCTGAATGACAACACTGTATGGTGACTATATTTAATTTAGTATTTTTTATTACAAATTTTATTTAATATGGATTATTATTATTATTATTATTATTATTATTGTTGTTGTTGTTGTTGTTGTTGTTGTTGTTGTTGTTGTTGTTGTTGTTGTTGTTGTTGTTGTTGTTGTTGTTGTTGTTGTTGTTGTTGTTGTTATTTGTTGTTGTTGTTGTTGTTGTTGTTGCTTGTTGTTGTGTTGTTGGTTGTTGTTGTTTTGTTGTTGTTGTGTTGTTGGTTGTTGTTGTTGTTGTTGGTTGTTGTTGTTGTTGTTGTTGTTGTTGTTGTTGTTGTTGTTGTTGCTTGTTGTTGTTGGTTGTTGTTGTTGTTGTCTTGTTTGTTGTTGTTGTTGCTTGTTGTTTGTTGTTGTTGTTGTTGTTGTTGCTTGTCTTTTGCTTGCTTGTTGTTGTGTTGTTGTTGTTGTTTTTCGTTGTTGTTGCTGTTGCTTTGCGTTGTTGTTGTTGCTTGTTGTTGTTGTTGTTGTTGCTGTTGTTGTTGTTGGTTGTTGTTGTTGTTGTTGTTGTTGCTGTTTCGCCCCCATGTGATGATAACACTAATAAACATATCTGTAGAATTAAACATATTTACTGAAAATGACATAAATCATCGTCATGATATATTAGATAATACAATTTCTTAATTTTAGTTTCTTCTGATAATATATTAATATCATTCACTATTGTATAAATTTACCACCAATGATAAATAATTTTTACATATGATGTTTTTGTTTCATATCAACATTTAAGTCTTGTATTATATTTTATAAGACCTAAATGTTAGTATTAAACAAAAACATTTATTATTGGTGGTAAATTTAGACAATAATGAATGGTATCAATATATTAGTTTGAGAGAAACTAATGTGTAGAAGAAAGTTATTTTGTTGTATAAATAAGGAAGATGACAAGAAATACTTCAAAAAAAGTTTCTTCACAAATGTTTTTTATATTGGTGATATTTATACCTGGCTGGGGAGGAAGAGGTGATGTTTTACTGTACTTATGATGACTTTAATATAGTGAACAATACATGCTATAGTAAACACATGGGGTATATAGGGTGGTTAATATTCCAATTTTCAATATTACAGATTGGCAAGGGGCGACCGAACTGAAGCATCTCAGGGGGCACTACTCAGCCGAGTGTCCTTACTTGGAACTGGCGGACGCTCGCCCCACAAGGGGTCACAGCTCAAGATTGAAGAAGCCGCAAGTCCAGAAAACTGTGAGGGCAAACTTTTACGGAGTGAGAGTTGTGGACTCTTGGAACAATCTACCAGAAAGTGTTGTGACGGCACCGAGTGTGAGCTAATGAGCCGATCAGTGGTGAAGAGGATAAGAGCACAGGAAAACACCCAAACACGACTTCATACAATTTCTTGTCCCCTCTTCGTAACATAACAACTTATGACCTTCAAGTATTGTCATGTCACCAGTCATTTTGGACCAGCCTTCCACCGCGCACTGAAGGCTTTCGTGATGGCATGTGATAAGTGTTCTCTCCTATATCTAACTGCTAATTAGCAATTTTATGAGAACGACAGTGAAGCAATAAAAATATCACGGTGTCCTACCAACATTCATAAAGTACAGAAATTACCCACCATTTCCTTCTATTGCACAGCCGTATCTTCCACTACAGTAGCAGGTAAGCTCCAAATGACTGGGTTATGTTATGCTAGGCTAGGCTAGGCTAGGCTAGGCTAGGCTAGGCTAGGTATACCATAAATAAAACTATTCTTGTATCAAAACCTGAGGACAGCCGATGGACGAATATTTATCGTGAAAAAAATTGGTTTCCATCATATTTTTCAAGTTTTATGGTGATTATAGTGACTGTGATAGTGAACGAGTATCAGTTTCAATATACTGTATCATAGTGAACACCTGGAGTATAATAAGTAAGTAATATTTAAATAACAACATCAACACAGGACTTAGATAATGTTGCCAAGGAAAATCTCGCTCACAGAAGAATTAACTTTTTTTTTAAAGTTTTAGATAGATTGATAGATAGATATTAAGTAGACTCGTCATTCAAGATTACAATTGCTTCAGCGTGTATATGGACAATACAGGTATATGTACAATATCTTTTGGTGAAGAAGATAAAAGTAAAAAAAAAAAAAGTTTAAATAGCGCGGGAAAATTTACCACCTGTTGGTTTGTTATGGTTGGTGACGTCATAAGAAACAAGACTATGGTATTGAAATCTCTCATTATTTATCAGTTTTTATACAGGTTATACTAAGTGTCATGAGTTAATACGTTACAGAGATGTCTTGTGGTTGTATAGTTTGAGTTTGAGGAGGAAAATATTTAGTTAGAGTTTGTATTTGTTGAGTTAATAGTGATGTCTGAAGGGCGTCAGGCCAAAGAATATTACACTTGTTTCAGTATTTCATTGATAACGTTATTTGTGGTAATTTTTATGTTTTTGTGTAGTTAAAGTGTAAAATATAAGTGTGGTTTAGTAGATGTGATTCACGGGAGCCAACGAGGATGTGGACAGAGGTGACCAGGTGTCTTAAACCTGATGAACTCAACTGGGAAGGTGAAGCTTAGGGGGAAACATTTTATAAATATATGCAGGTGAGTGTGTACTGTTCACCTGTAGCAGTAGTCCTTATATTGCATGCCAGACACTTCAGTTTAACAAGATGTCCATCAAGTTGTATTAATGTATGTATCGTTAGTGAAGGGTCTTGTGGTCACCGCCTCAAATGTTGTCTAAAACAGAGATGAGAGTATTTGGTGTTACTATAGTGTGTGGGCTACTATATATTTCAGTTAGGTTAGGTGGTTTTATTTCACTTGTTGCCACTAAACGAACCTCAGGAATATTATAGTTACAGTCAGTAGTTTTGACAATTCTAAAACACTTTTCTTCACTGGTAACTCTGGCGCAAATTACGTTTCAGCGAGATGGTTAACATATCATTATGTATGTTTGTACATGGCAGGACACACCCAGAGCATGGAACAACTATGGAGCCCCTCAATTAGGTTAAGTTGTGTTAGATCCCAAACTATTTTTCCAATGTTTTTCGATGTGTTTTGAGCACTTTTAACCTTGATTTTTATAGCAAATCTCTAGATTCTGAGAAGGGAGGGTAAGGGGGCTTATCTCAGAAACTAGTGATTTGTGCCAGAAATTAAGATCAAATTCGTTCATATTACATCAAAAACCATCGGAAAAACATGGTTTCAACTTTGATTTCGTCTCGTGGCAACAAGTGAAAGTTTACCTCTTATGTTAGGTTGGGTTAGACTCTTTGTAGACCTGACACTGTAATAGCACCGAGTTTGTCTTGTACTATAATCATATATACTGTGTTTACCCTTCCCTCACTTTTTGTACAGTATAGTGCTGTACAGTACAGTATAGTGCTGTACAGTACAGTACAGTGTAGGGGAAATTTCTTACCCGATAAAACTTTCACTGGTAATTATTGACTGCTTTCCCTACACTGATGTTTCATAGAAAATGAATTAAAACATACCACAGCCTCAGTGTGTTTCATGGGCTTTGTCTTAATTTGAGCAAATGTAGTAAAATGGGTTATTTCTATATTAAAGCTACAAATTGCTTTACTAATGACTATTTTACTTACAGAACTATTAACCCCTTAGTTAAATAAAATTGTCTTGTGTTTTTCAAATGAAATATTAGGAGTGGCATCTCCATAGTGAAGGCCTCTTGTGCCCTGGCTCCCCTCTGAGCTGAACAAAATCGTCTAGTTTTAGCCAAATAAAATCATGGTAGTAAAAGGTTATTGTACATCTTGACTATAAGCACGTCTGTATTTAATGGACTATATAGTAGTTCGTTTTATCAAAAGTTTGTTCTTCATACTGTATATGAAACCTTTAGAGCAAGGGTCGGCAACCTTTTGAACACACTGTGCCAGTTTTTAACATTTCTACTGCCCTGCGTGCCAACTATAATCTTCAGTATGCAAATTACTTTATTGTTATTGTATATTGATAAATAATGCTTTCATACATATTTGAAATACACACAATTACATATGAATGGTAAGAAATATAATCAAATACAGTGGTCCCTCGGTTAACGAGCGCCTCGGTTTATGAGATTTCGGTTAACGATTTACCTTCCATAAGATTCTTAACTTCGGTTAACGAGCAATCCCTCGATTAACGAGTTTTTTACGAGCCGACTTCAACATGTTTTCGCTTGCATTTGGCGGTCCACCAGCTGTAGTATTAGTCCGCCAATACAGTAATCGGTTTTAGGGCTTAAATTCCTTACTATTTTAGTAAATATCAAGAAGTTTATACTATTCAATAATTTTAAAAGTTTAATATTAACTTTTTTAGTCATTTTAACAATTATTGAACATAATTGAAGGTAAAGAAACTAGTTTCTGGTGTGCCATCCAGCCTGTTAACACACCAGACAGGCGTTAGTCTCTCTCTGTTTTCAGTGGAGGCAACATCTTGCTTGAGACTCTCTTCAACTAAACGCTTTTTTTCTGTGTTTCCAAGCAAATTATTGGTCATTTTGAAATATATTTTATATATTGACAATATATAATGCAGTGCAGTGTTGATTTAAAGAAAATAATCTTGAATTACACCAAGAGAGCTAAAATTTTATGGGTGAAATGGTGCCATGGGCTGACTTCTCTTCCACTCCAATGCCTTCTCTTCTCCCTTCTCTTCCACCCCCATTCTAATTCCCATCATCATCATCCAGGAGCCTTCTACATACACGCCCCAAAGTAAGTGAACTTTTCTACCTTTTTTGTTGAATTTAGGCAATTTTCGGTGAGCTGGAACCAATTACCCAAAAACCCATTGAAACAATGGTTTCGGTTAACGAGTTTTTCGGTTAACGAGCAACATGCTGGAACGGATTGTGCTCGTTAACCGAGGGACCACTGTACTATAAAATGCTCTCACCATTTTTGTGTGATCCCTGTCCCTGCTTCTCATCGCTCAGCATTGCTATGTCAGGAGTATATCTGGACACCTTAAGTTGCACACACCCCTTGGAGTGATCAGTTGTAAGTCGGCTGTGATGAGAATTGAGGATATTCTTCATGTGTGAAAATATCTGCTCATACAGATATGTCGATCCAAAGGTTGAAAGCAGTGTGAAGGCAACCTTCTTCATGCCATCAAAGTTCTCTGGTAGGGGTTGCCCACCAACTTAGGATGGAGGCATCATGATCACTCACAGTCGTTTCAGGTGATTTATGTAGTTCCGTGAACTTTATTACCCATAATGAAGACGACTTAAAATCGATCAGCTGCATCTCTAGGTCCTCAATTTCCATCCACTCAAAGACAAGTTCACATCACTCTCCTAAAAGTTTTCAGGTTTAATTAAAAAGGAAAACATTGGACCAATATTCTTGAAATCTGACATAAAACTCTGACCTCAGTTCTTGCATGTACACTGTATTCTCTGTAACGTTCACAGGGTGATGTGCCGACCACCCCTTCAGGTGCTTGTAGTTGCAGAAAGTTGTAATATCCACCAAGTAAACTGTCAGGTTTGCAACAAAACCCTTCCAAGTGTGATACAGATCCACAGCTGTTTGTCCAACAGGTGAAGATTAAGGTCACTGAGGTGTTTGGTGATGTCCGAGAGAAACATAAGTTTCACTACCCATTGGTCATCTTCCAGTTCGGAGTATTTTTGTCCCTTTTCTTTCAGAAAGATCCTCATTTTATCAAAGCATTCCACGAACTGTTCTAAAATCTTCCCTCAACTTAACTGCCTAACACTGGAATAAAGGAGTTTGTCTCCATATGCACTATTCATCTCATCAAGAAAAGACTGGAATTGTCTGTGTGTTAGAGCAGATCGTTCAACTCAAAAATTCCAAATTTTTGTCACAGTGGCCATTACTTTATTGTCATCAGAGTTTAAAATTCTGGCGACAGATTTTCTTGATGAATAATGCAGCGTAACTTCAGGATGGGGTGCCTGATTTTATTCTCATTTAGCTTGGCAAATCCCCTGTGTTATCCTACCATAACAGGAGTGCCATTCGTTTAACTCCAAATATTTTTTTAATATCAGCGCCTCTCTCCTCCAAATGATCAATAAACATTTTAACAATGTCATCTCCCTTGGTAGGTGTTAGGCAGCACAGCTCCTCGCGTATCTCCGTCACTGTACCTGGCGGCAACAGCCAAACGTGTACAGTGGTCCCTCGGTTAACG